TGTAGGAGGAAATGCAGAAAATTTTTGCTGAGGCTTTAGAAAAAAGGACCCGACTATCTGGTGCTGAAATCCTTGCAAAGGTGCTATACAAACCTCCAACTTACTTCAATAAACAGAAACCAGCTTCCGAAAAAGAGAAAGAACTAGAAGAGCGTTTGGAAAACTCACTGGCTGAAGGAGAGGAACAGAGGCAAGAGTTCGAAGCGCAGATTCAAACCCAACAACATAAATTGAGGAGCAGCAACATGAAATTGAAAAGAACAAGCAGGTCATCCAGACACTAAAAGAGTCCCAGGATAATCTAAAGATCTACGTGGAATCCTAGCTCGAAAAATTGATGGGACACGAGAGTAATCTAAGGTAATAACCCTCAACTAGCTTCTCTTTGAATCTTAAGATGCTAAGAAATGTAGAGTGGATTGAGTTGATGAATGGAATGAATGGCCTGAATGTTTGACAAGCTTCATTAAATGAGTAGGCATTGAAAATGTATAGGGAGCAGTAGAGTTCAATGAGCTGGAACGAATGGAATGAGTTTGACTTGGTTTATCTCTTATGTACACGTACTGTCTCAACTGTGGGCGATGTAGTTGGAACCTCATTTTGAAAGGACATGGACAATGGTGCCTTGCGTCGTTGGCTGGTGGAAATTTTGTCTTTCAGTGGGATTTTCATTTGAGGATGAACTTGAGCTCGCTGTAGCCTTGCGTCGTTGGCTGGTGGAAATTTTGTCTTTCAGTGGGATTTTCATTTGAGGATGAACTTGAACTCACTGTAGGTCTGTTTAGGGTTGAACATTTGTAGGGTGTGTCAATTTTTCAGTGTCTAGGATATCTATGGGCTCTGTATGTTATTTTCAATTATGTCAAGTTGTTTACGATTTATGACTGGATTTATCTATGCTATTGACATATTTTTAGATTCGGTGACAGAAGTGGCACGTAAGATTATGCTTACACATGTTGAAATAAATGTCATAATGTCCAGAAATTGTGACAAATATGCAATGGCGTATACTGACAAATATTATTGGTCATATCAAATATATATTGACAAAACAATTCGTTGACAATTAAACTGGTAAAGCCGAAAAAATTGCTAAATCATATTTGTCAGAACAGACCCATATAGAGTTATTATGACCAACTATTATGACAAAATATTTGTTACAATATAATATTTTGTCAAAATAAAATGCTACGATGCGCGACTAGTCCTGACGAAATTTTAGTGTATTATGACGAAGATAATCATTTATTATAACAAAATATTTCGTCAAAACAACGTTTCTATTATGACAAAAAATGCTCGACATGACATCAGGAAATATTATGCCGAAGTTATAAAATTTCGTCAAAATAAAGTTGTTTCGACGGCGTAGTTTTGACAAACATCATGACGAAATATTTCGTCATGATAAACCTATTGTGACGAAAATGTGGCCTATTGTGACGAAATGTGGCTGTCAGAATAGACGAAATTTGTTGTAGTGAATTAAATGATTAAGGCTTATGTATAAATTGTTGTCGATTGAAAGTAATGTTATCAATGTTTCTGCTAAGTATTATTAAGAATATAAAGTATCAGTATTAACATTTTCTACATAATTTTAAAAAAATTATGAATTCATTATTAACAAATTCTCATCGATTTTCAATGTAAACAATTATAATATTGACAAACATATCTTCTCCATCTTCTGCAAAAGCGATCCTCAGGAACGAGGCAGCGGGTTGTCTGCGTCGAAAGACGTTGTGGCTGCTGGTTGGCGTCCACATATAGTCGGCTGGATGGAAAGAGAGGGTAGCGAGGATGTTATCGTCGAGATGCTAATCACCGGAGTGGGACGCGTCACAGCACTACGTCTGTCGACAGTTTCAACGACGAACGTACAGGTGGAGTGGGACAACGATAAGATGGCGGCGGCGCAGTAAGTTGTGTCCTGTGCCGCTGCCGGAGACGCGAGATGATGATGTTGTCATATCCTTGTTTCTTACCGGCGCCTACGACCGTAACATTTGGTGAAGAGAGAGGCCTTTAAGGGTTTAAGGTTTCATTTTCTTGTTTTTATGTTTTTATTAATTAGTAATTAATTTCTTCCTAATACCAAGTTTACCCTTAATAACTATCTAACTAATACATGCCGAAAATTACCTAAAATGCTTTCGGCCAATAGAATTGACCTAAGCATATGCTTAAGTTTCTAGACTTAAGTAGCGGATCTGGCCCGGGTAATAGGGGTTTCAAATATGGAGAATGGGGTGAAAAACTAATACCTCACAACCCACTTACCCATTCCAATCATGAGGGAAGCACACAGGTGGCGTTCCCTCGATGAATGTATTATTTTAATTTTGGTTTTTGTTTAACTAACTAATTAAAAATTCAATTACCACAAAACTCATTGAAATCAAAATTTGTATTTTATTGTTTGTTAATTACCACAAAATATATGTTCGAAATAAATAAAAATTACTTCAATTTTTTTTTAATAAATAATGACGAATCATGAAAAGATTAAATTAAAAATTTAAATTAGCATGCAGTAAGTAAGATTTATGTTAGAAAATCAATAGAAAAAGTGAGGGTATCAAATTTAAGAGTTTTATGATTGGAGCAAAAATGTGAAATGAACCATAAAAAATGTGAAATGATGATGAAAAAGAGGATATTTAGTAAAAAATGTATTAAATTTGAGAACCATACTTTGAGTTGGCCTAACGGTATAAAGACGGTGGGGAAAAACTCTAAAAAATGTTCTACGCAACGCAACCCTTTGTCCTGTCTCCTACAGCGGCTGATGATGAAGCTGGCCGCCCGCCGGACATAAACGCCCTCTCCATGCCTTTTGACTGGTCTCATTCTAATCCACCGTTGTCTACCTAGCTGAACAAAATGTCCTTGGCGAACCCTTCTAACTTCTTCCCTTTCAATACAGATCAGTGCTCTCCGGCCGATACAGAGAATCAAGAGCCACAGCCAACAAATGGACATACGTCGGAGAACACAATTTGGAAGCCGGATCCTATGCAAGGGAGCTATAGCTAAAAGTATCGAGCTTTTTTAAAAGAAATAATATATGGCCCATGGAAGAAGATGTTGGTCATTCGACCTCTCGGTGGATTAGTATCCTACAACTACCTATGCTCGCAACTCCGTTGGAAGTGGCATCCGACCGAGACAATGGATATCGTGGTTCTAAACAACGACATATTCCTAGTAACTTTCTCTAATGATCAAGAGTATTTGCAGGCCCTAAACGGTTCCAACTAATTTCTTCATAATAAAACGATGGCGGATCATGGGAAATCCTCGATTACTACCTCGTTGTGCACCCCTGGTTGCCCAAATTCGGGATTTTTCCAATAATAACTCCTTTTAAAAAAAATTACAAAAATAGCACCCAACCCACAAAAATTCCAAAAATAGCACCTTTACATATAAACCGCACCTTCAAGGTGCGTTTTATGTGCAAACCGCACAACGGGGGAGCGGTCCACGCTAGGGAAGCCCGAAAACCGCACTCTCAGCATGCGGTCCGCGTTGCCGAGTCGGTGGTCCCCAACACTGTTGGATGAGGTGGCGATCCAACTGCTAACCGGGCGCCAGTGCAGCGATTCGCTTCAGGGATCGAAGACCGCTTTCCTGGCGAACGGTCAGCGCCTCGGTCGCTGTGAACCGCGCCTTCCTAGTGCGGTTTTGTAATGGCCAAAATTACGTGACCGCCCCTGAAGGGTGCGGTCTGAAAAGTATAAATACCCCCCTCCCCCTCCTCATTTTTTCACACCACAACCCATTCTCCTCTCTCTCTAAAATTATCTCTCTATCCATCCCCCTTCCCTCCCAAACGTCTAGGAAATAGTGGTCTGTTGGTTGCGGCTAAGTCCCATCTGCCATCAGAAAATATTTCTTTGGCTTTTCCTTCAAAACCCGCCGAATCTCTGTCCGACTTTCGCGAAAAAAATGGACGAGTGGTTCCAAGAAGAGGGAATTTATTATGATGGATTTCAAGCGGTACGTACTCATTACTAAATGTTGTTGTTATAAACTTTTCAATTAATCTATGTACTAATGTTGTTGTGATTCTTTCATAGGTTGGAGACGACGTGGATATATACAACCAACGGTATTATGTTGATCAAGGGCCATCCAACCGTGTTGTACGACCAACTCAACCATCGTTCAAGGGATGTTTGGAAAGATCACGAGGTACATAAAATTCTTCATAATTTCTCTTTCTTTTAATACTTTAACTTACTTAATGGAATATAAAATAAATTTGATCATTTTTAATCGTATTGGTTGTTGTCAATAATTTAATCGAATACATAGCGCCACTTACATAGACTATTTATAAAGAGATGCATGCCTAAGGAAATGGGGTTTTAAGCGATTATCATGATCCTTCCATTCCCTGGGAAAATCGGGTTTTAAGCGATCCTCGGATTCCCCATTTTTCTGTCAAAAGGCTGCGTTTCTAAGAAGATGTATAGCTATTCTGAGAGTCTTATGAGTGTTGCATTGTATTCGATTAAATTATTTAAAACAACCAAAACGAAGACGTATACCTCTTCTAAGAGTCTTATGAGTGTTGCATTGTATTTGATTAAATTATTTAAAACAACCAATACAATTAAATTATTTAAAACAACCAATACGATTTATGTGTATGTGTACAATTATAATTTTATTAATTTCAAATATTTTAATATGTATCTCTTTAAATTATTATCATTTAAAATATTATTTAATTTAATTTATTAAGTATGTTTGCTTTATGAAATTATGAATATATCTTGGAAAAAACCTTGAATTATTTTAATTTTTTGTTAATAATATAATTATAATAAAATTATGGTCAAAGTTAATTCATTTATTTTAATTAATTTAGTTATAAAAAGACTATTACTAGTATATCATAAATAATGTTAATTTTTCTCTAGGAGGCATACCAAATACTCCGCTATAGGGGTACGGCCAATGTGCTCCCATGGAACGACGTTATTTTTCCCTTTCTCATAAAGGCACGGTTGGAGTCGATTAGGCATTTCGTGGGCATAAAAATCGATCGTCAGTTCATCACTGCATTGGTGGAGAGATGGCGAAAAGAGACACATTGCTTCAACTTTCGCGAAGGAGAGTGCACGATCAGTCTAAAGGACGTCGCCATCCTAACCCATCTGCCCGTCGACGGCAAAGCGGTGTGTGTGAGTGATCATGCGCCTTAGGATGTTTTCGAGATGACCGGTTGGCAGCATTTGATCCACAGTGTTTTGGGGGTGCGAGTGCCAATCAAGGGGAGCGTTGATGCGACAGATCGCTTAGCACCATTGAGGAAAAACCAAGTATCAATCACTTGGTTGACGTAGTGGTTGAAGGACCAACACGATCCTACAAAAGGCGGGGTTCCCCTAACTGAGGAAAGTCCCGAGGAGGTGAAGGAAAGATATGCTCGTGTCTATCTCATAGGCATGATCGGAGGAGTGTTCTTCTCCAAAAAATCCAACAATTTACTTAGCTGTGGATGGCTTAGGATCCTCCTTTGTAGTTGGGATGCGATGGGGGAGTTGAGCTAGGCATCCGCTTGCAAGCTAATATCTACCACCATTTGTGTAATGCATCTCTCAAAGCTGTGAGGGAGGTTGGCGGGGCAATGTTCATCGTTCAATTTTGGGCTTGTGAGCATCAACCATGGATTGCACCGGAGAAACGTCCCGACAGGAATTGGCCCGTCGACCATCCCCTACGAGGTGAAGCTTATGGTTGTAGGTAAATTTCTCATACACAATCATGATTTTCATAAAAAAAATTCGTTATTTAGTTATAACATTTCATTATTGTCTTAATAATAAGGTGGGTTGGAGCCATAACATGCGACAACCTTTCCCAACACAAATTGGCGGAGTATCGGAGGAGGCTAGAGCGACTTTGGGAAGGAGAAGTAACTAGAATACTTCGAAATGTTATAACATTTTTTGATGGAGTACATGTATTTTCCAATTTCGTTTAACTTAAGTTTATCATTTCTTTTTGTATATCATTTACGATCCATGCCCTGTCAACATCGTTACATGGCATTGCCAGCAATTTCCGAGTCATATCGGTCAATGGTGCACGAGAGTCCCTCTCATTTGTCACCATATTTTGGAGTGGAATTTGCCAGATGACAGTTTGGTTGGGAGCAATTCATTCCTTTGTAGGTCCCCGAGAGTCAAAGAGCGTTTCACCGCCGAGATGTTCGGCAAGGTGACCAAGATTGGCCCGTGAAGGTGAAGAAATTCATCCGAATATGGGAAAACCGACAAGATTTTGAATGTTAATTTCCAAATTCCCAGGACATAATTTTTTCAGCTTTTTATTACCCTCTTATATGTTGAAAAAAATTACTGGTCATATTAAGCAAACACGCAAGTTTCAACCGTCATCACTTTGACAATAGATAACACATACAGAACAAATACCAACAAATGATCTCCGCAAATGATCACCGCAAACTATGTTGCATTAGCTGAGTCCCCCACATCAGGCCCGAGATTTGGCGGTCCAATCGGACCATGACAATTTCGTTTATCATGCCCTGGAACTCTTCATACGGAACATCGTCTCGGGCCTCGTGGTGGTCTTCCACTTTGATCCATTTCGTTCGGAATTCTCTTTACCCTCGGGCGGCCTGGTTCACGCCTCTGTCCGAACGGTGGTATGATCAACTTTCCTTGATACACTGGCCAGTAAGCTTCATCAGGCAATGCACGGAAGCTCCGTTCATAGCAACTTTTTAGTGAGTCGATATTGAAGAATGGACTTACGAAGTGACGGTGGTCTTTGCTCCTGCTTTTGAATACGGCCATTGCATGCAAACATGGCCATCCTCTCCCCTGAGACCAAAACTTCATGGCGATGGCCACCACGTCTACCATCCTCCCGGTGTCTGGTCGTCATGCTATACTCGCCAGTTGCTCGATTCATAACGGTTACACTGTGCCGACTTCTCTTTCGATTGTCATTTTCCATTATTTCTGTGAATTTATAGGCATGGACCTTTCCCCGTGCCTCATTCGTCCTTGCCCAGTGCAGTCGATTGACGAACCATGCATTCGTTTTCCAGAAAGTCGTCTCAACAATGGCAGAGATTGGCAGTGAACGAACCGCATTGTAGACGAAGTTGATACTCTCACTTGAGTTCGTTGTGGCAATACCCCATCTGGTACCTCCGTCTTTATGGAAAGTCCACATGGAGAGGTTGTGTCGTGTCCATCCAGCCACTGTGCCCCTTCAGGTCATAACTCACGCAACTTCTGCAGCTTCTCCTTGAATTTTTTTCTTGGAAGGCAACAGTTGATGAACACACAGAAAAGACAAAAGTTAGTGTTAATTGTCAATATTATTTAATTAAAACAACCAATAGTTAAACTCTTAGGAGAGGTATACATCTCCTTAGACACACAACCTTTTTGAGAGAAAAAGGGGGGATCCGAGGATCGCTTGAAACCCCATTTCCTTAGGCATGCATCTCTTTACAAAGAGTCTAACAAGTGTTTCATTGAATTAGATATAAGCAATTGTTATTTGACAAAATTAAACAACCAGTGAAATAGAGAGCTTACCAATCCACCATAAATTATCAGCAAGCTTCTTCCGCTTGAATTATGGTTCCAATTACTCTTGAAGTGTCATATGCACCACCTTTGGGACCACTTCCAGACTGGATCCAAACCTAAGATGGCAGCTCTGATGTCGGCGTGTCGATCAGAGATGATTGTCAGGTTCGTTCTCCCGGTGACGTGGAGCTGAATTTGTCGGAAAAACCATCCATAGCTATCACCATTCTCTCCCTCAACAATGGCGAAGGCTAAAGGAAAGACTTGTCTGTTTGCATCCGCACCACTGACAATCAGGAGAGTGCCCTTGTATAACTTGCCGGTAAGGAATGTACCATCGTCTGGAATGTGAGTGTAGTACGAAATAGGTACACGGTCACGAGACACCTCATCATCATCTGAGTCTGACTCTGGGCCTCCTGAATCATCAGCAACTTCAAGAGGGTCGGAGCTGTCTGCACTAACATTGCTCCCTTCTTCTTCATCGGAGGGGTCACTAACTGGTGCTGGCAGGGGATCTTTCATCTGATCCAAATCATGAAAGGCACCTTCATAAGCTTCGCAATGGTAGTTGTGAAAACTGTCGCTGCCTGGATGGAAGTTGTACTCGGGTTATTTGGCATGGTGTCGTTGAACTTCTTCTTCATATGATGGGAAAGATTGATGATGAGCTTCACCTTGCTCTTGGTACTGAAAGTAGAAATGAGGATAATGGTAACTTTGGTAGGGATGATCAGCATATAATTCACCTCCACCTTGGATACCAGATGTTTGCCCGTCTCCAGAATGACCTCCAACGCCTTCGACCGCCTCGGTGTAAACGAACATCTCGGCTTTGGAAAGATTATTGGACCTCAAGAATTCGAGCATGGCATCTACTTCATCCTGAGTGGTTATGAGATATTCCTCATGCCACAACGACCCGCCTTCTATGTTTGGATATCGGTATACCATACGATCAACTCTTCTCGTGCCATCCATGCAAGTAACGTTAGTACACATTTGATGGAGGTCTTCAAGCATCAGTCTGGTAGCGACCTTTATTTTCTGAAAATAGCCACCGACGTAGGTGACCCCCTTTCCAGTCTCTTTAGTGTAACCATTCCAACGTAGCCCAAGCGTGAACTTTTGGAATGCCATCTGCAATAAAACCGTAATTCAGTTAAAATCATAAAAATCACAAATCATAATAAAAAATAATACAAAATAAACTTACGAGATAAGGTTAATCGCAAAAATAATAAAAATTAGGGTGCTATAACAGATTGAAGAAGAAGAAGAAGAAGAAGAAGGAGAGGTGTGAAGAGAAGAGGTTTCCCGGGGCTGCCTTTTATAAGCTAAATCATCACTGAAAACCGCAGGGGGAAGATGTGGTTTTCATCTGCCATGCAGCTCCACGTCTGTCAACCTGCATGGTCAACATGCTGGTTGTCGGGAAAATGGGGACGACACACAAACCGCAGTGGGGGGTGCGGTTTGTGTGTCGGCAAATGAAAACCGCACCCTGAGGATGCGGTTTGTGTTAGAGAAACAGAAACCGCATCCTCAACAGGCGGTTTTGCTATGTCAGCCTAAGAACCGCCTTGCCATGATGCGGTTCTGGTAGGTTAGAAAGCAACCCGCCTGTCCAAGGTGCGGTTCACGTTCTGAAACTCAAACCGCACCCTCAGGTTGCGGTTTATATGTAAACCGCACCTTGGTCGTGTAGTTTTTAAAAAAGGGTGCTATGTTTGGAATTTGTGTGGCCTGGCTGCTATTTTTGGAATTTTTTTAATGGTGCTATTTCTGAAAAAATCTCCCCAAATTCAGGACACAATAAGACAAGGCCCACAAATCAGTCACCGCCTGGGTTAAGCTGCCGGAGCTCCCCATGCATTTCTACCATCGGGAAGTCATGTTCTCCCTTGGTAACCTCATAGGTTGAACCATAAAACTCTATTACAACAGAGAACCTAGAGAGGGGCCAGTTTGCAAAGATTGCCATTGAACTGGACATGACTAAGCCATTTCCTACACGCTTCTGCCTGGACGGGTTTTGACAGCAAGTTCGTTACAAGAATCTCCCTCAAATTTTCTCCGAGTGGGGTAGAATCGGCCACACGGAGGACGTCTTCCCAAGGAAAATCGTCAGCAACATAGCAGTACGAGCATCGAAACTAACAGTGCCATTGGCGACCGGCCTTGTGACCCTCGTTCCAGCGCCGGCCGGCTATGGCCATGGATGCAGGGGTGGCGCGTAAATCTCAACAACAATCAAGAAAGCTCAAAAGGAAATCAACTAGAAAAACCTTCACACCAGGGCAATCACACTGCAAAATTAATGGCACCGAGCAAAGGCGAAGCTCATGGACCAACGACTATCAATGACGAAAGGAAAGGGGAAACAAAAAATGGAACACAAGAAAGGAAAGAATGTTCCACAGAAAAGGAAAGTGACAATTGGTGAGTATGTAGATGAAGTGATGTTGCCCCATTGCAGACTGCTCATCTCTTATTGGGTCGTCCATGACAATATGATCGTGGAGTTATTCACGATGAGAGACACAATAGCTACCAATTCAAGCAAAGAGAGCGGAAGTTTCTGCTCAAACCATTGTCTTTAGATGGATTTCGAGAAGATCAACAACAAA